CACCTCTGCGATCACCGCGATGCAGCCCAGGATGACGGCGGCCTTGGCCTGAGCCCCACTCATCCCGCCGAGCCCCGAGGTGACGAGGACCTTCCCAGCCAGGTCCTGGACGCCCAGGTACCGCCGCCCAGCATTGAGCACCGTCAGCTGCAGAGAGGACAGGTAAGGTCCCCGCTGCCCACTCCCTGTCTGTCCACCTCCCAGGACCCACCACCCTCGGCCACAAGTGCCCCCGTGCTCACCACGGTGCCGTGGACGATTCCCTGGGGACCGATGTAGCAGTAGCTGCCAGCTGTCATCTGGCCGTACCTGACCACACAGAGAAGCGGGGGAGGGGGGCTGAGCCAGGGGACAGGCACCATTTCCCTGCTTTTGGAGGCTTCCGGTGGGACTGTCCCCAGAGGTAGCCACACGTCCTCCTTTAATAACAAAAAGGTGCTGGTGGCCCACGCCTGTCCTCCCAGCAACTCGGGAGGCTGAGGCAGGAGGATCGCAAGCAGGAGGCCAGCCTCAGCCACTTAGTTCATTTGCTACAGCGATTATCCTACAGTGACATTCCCCGAGCCACAACGGGGGCACAATGGTCACCTGGCATTATTTATGACCCACCACCAGGAGGCGAGAGGGTGAGTGGATCATGATGTCCTGGGACAGGTGACAGAAAGGTACAGCGTCCCTGACGTCCTGGTCAAGGTGCAGGGGCAGCCTGCAGGGGTCCCCCTACCTAACGAGACGCTCACACAGGGGACACCTGAGAGGCACAGGGAGCCACGGTTGACTGGGGAAGGACAGAGGGCGGGAGAGAGGTTTCCTCGGGACAACGATTCATGACATTGGTTTCATTCAGGGGACGATGACAAGGGACAAGTCTGTCCGGGGTTAGCACAGAAAATTTTTTTTTGTTTTGGTACCAGGGATGGAACCCAGGGGTGCTGAACCCCTGAGCCCCGTCCCCAGCCCTTTTTCTATTTTATTAAGAGACAGGGTCTCGCTGAGTGGCTCAGGGCCTCGCTTTGGCTGAGGCTGGCCTCCACCTTGCGATCCTCCTGCCTCAGCCTCCTGAACTGCTGGGAAAAAAAATGATTTTAAGAGGAAGGTCTGGCTCGTGGGGAGGAGGGGGGGCAAAATGTCACAGGAACAAACTGAAACTTACATGGTGACCCCCAAGGCAAAGAGCTTGTCATACTCGGTCCTGGAGGAATAGTTGGGGATGACCTGGAACAGAGAGAGAGGGGGACAGACGCTGGAGGACCCACGGGCAGTGGGCACAGCAGAGAGCGCTCAGAAACGGTGCCCGCGGGGTGGCCGGGGCACCGGGCTCTCCTGTCTGCCTCCAGGACCCCTCTTCTGGAACCCACCATGCCGTTGGTGATGACCAGCCTTGGGGCACCGGGGCTGCTGGGGAAGAGGCCCAGGGGGTGTCCGCTGTACATGACCAGCGTTTGATCCTCTGTCATCTTGGACAAGTAGGACATGGTCAGCCAGAACTGGAAGGAGAATACGAGTGTCAGTGTCCGTGGGTACCTACCCCACGCCGGGTCCCCCGGCCACATCCCAGTGGCCCTGACCTCCAGGTTTCTATTCTACTCCAGCGGCCTCCAAAATATTTCTGCTGCCCGTTCTTGATTTTGGGGTACCGGGATTGAATTCAGGGGTGCTTAACCACCAAGCCCCCATCCCCAGCCCTATTTTGTATTTTACCGAGAGGCAGGGCCTCCTTGAGTGGCTCACGGCCTCGCTTTGGCGGAGGCCAGCCTCCCACTGGCGATCCTCCTGCCTCAGCCTCCCAAGCCCCTGGGATGACCGGTGTGCGCCACTGGTGCCCGGCTCCTGCCCATTCTTAGAGCTGAAAAGTCCCCAGATACTGTCCAGCGTGGGAGTCTAGGGGCATTAGGGATCAGGGCCACGGGGGTCTAGACTCTTTCTAGGTTGGGGTGGGGATGAGGCCACACGGCCACCGTACCTGAGCCCAGTTGCTGAACACTTGTCCATTTCCTCCATAGGTGACCAGCTCCTGGGGATACTAAAGAACGCAAGGCATTGTGGGAGAGAGGCCTGGGAAGGACCCATGGGGCTGCGGACGGGGAGAAGACAGACCCTCGCATGCGCATGCGTGTAAAATCCCAGCTCCTCGGGAGGCCGAGGCAGGAGGATTGCAAGTTGGAGGCCAGCCTCTCAAAAAACCCAAGAAACCCCAAACCACCCCAAATTACAGGCCTCCTTTTGTGTGACTCTTGAGGTCATGGAGTCACAGCTGGGAGGGGGGTTCAGGGACCCCGACATTTGCCTGGCAGCGTCTGCTGAGTCGATACTTAAAATTCCAAGCACACAAGGTCACTGTGTGTGTCCCCGGCCCCTACCTGAGCCACGGCGGGGTCCAGGTTGTTCATGATCATGTGCATGATGGCGGCGGCCGCTCTTGTCCGACTGGGGTACTGCTGGAGCGGGTAGGCCCTGCAAACGGGGTACAGTCACCGGGGTGGGCAGGCCCGGTTCCCCTTCCTGCTGACCTGCAGCGTCCACCACCAGCCCAAGGTCTTTGGATGGAACCCACCCAGGGCCCTTGATCCCTGAGCCCTGTCCCCAGCCCTTTTTATCTTTTATTTACAGACAGGGTCTGGCTGAATGCCTCAGGGCCTGGCTAAGGGGTCGAGGCCGGCCTCCTACTGGCGATCCTCCTGCCTCGGCCTCCCCAGCCGCTGGGATGGCAGAGCCACCATGCCCGGCCCTGTCGCTCCTCAAATCGAAAAGGGAAGGATGGTCTGTGCCCATCAGCACGCACCTCATCTGAATGGCGGGGCAGAAGCGGTACATGTAGATGTGCCCGTACAGACGGAGCTCCTGGGCGAACTCCGGGGCCAGCAACTTCTGGATGTCGGGTGGGAAGTAGCGTAGGGCGTTCCTCAGGGCCAGCTGGGCAGGGGACCGGGGAGAGGCAGCTGGGGTGACGGGTCCCTTCCCACCTGGAATGGCTTCGCTCCTTCCCACTGACCCACTCTGGGACCTCCAGAGCCTCACGCTAGGCTTATAGGCAAAGTCACCTCCTTCAGGGAGGCCTCCCTGATTGCAGCCCCGTCCCCCATCATGCAGATAGAATGAGCTCCTCCTGCTCTGGCCCATCACAGACCATCTCTTGGCCTCAAGACTCTCAGCTGGAGGCTGGTGACTGGGAGGTGGGGAGCCGGGCTGCAGACTGAAGGGGAGGGCAGGCGTCCTCCACCCAGTGCCCACTGGGCGAGTGGCACAGCAGCTAGCTCCCTCTCCACTGCGCAGCCTCAGGCCAGGCACTGGGAGGAAGTCCCTTCTGCCTGCCGCGTTCCAGGTCCTGCCCCAGGACCTTTGCACTTACCCTCCTCCTCCCCATCTTCTCTTCAGGTCTCAGAGCAGTAATCTTTCCCCCCCCCCCTTTTTTAATCCCCAGACCTCTGAATGTGAGGATTTTTTTTTTTTTGGGGGGGATACCGGGGATTAAACCCAGACGTGCTGAACCCCTGAGCCCCATCCCCAGCCCTGTTTTGCATTTTATTTTGAGACAGGGTCTCTGCTGAGTGGCTGAGGGCCTCACTAAATGGCTGAGGCTGGCTTGGAACTCGCGATCCTCCTGCCTCAGCCTCCCGAGTTGCTGGGGTGGCAGGTGTCATGGATTTTGTTTTCTTTTTAAGGACACAGAGACATCCTGGGGGCATCTCAGCGGTACTGATGGCGTGTGGCCGGGCCTCGGTGGCTGAAGGTCCAGACACCGGCTCCCAGCAGGTAGGGGACCCAAGGGTAAAAAAGAGCAATCACCCGCTGGACACCTGGGAGCTGAGCCAGATGGGCGGAGCCAAGGGGAGCCACGCCCCTGCGATGCCAGCCACGCCCCTGGCAGTGCCAGCCCCGCCCCTGGAGTAAAAGCCCCGCCTCAGCAGCATCAGCCCCGCCCCCTGCGGCGTTAGCCCCGCCCACAGCCCCCTGAGCTCCCCAGGATCCCCCCTCCCTTCCCTTCCCCAGCCCCTTCCCAGCTCCACCCAGCCCCGACCAGACCACAGCGACCCTCAGCCACCCTCCAAGCACAACCCCCGACTTTGGGTGGGGTTCAGGAGAAAGCCTAAGGGGCAGCCACCCAAGGGGGCTTGGTCTGGCAAATGGTGGGGTTCCACTTTTCATCTTTGTGCTGATTTGTGTTTTCCACCTCCCCGCCCCCTGTCTCTGAAGCCCTTTGCGTCAAGAAAAAGGATCCCGGGTGCAGGGGAGGCTGGGGCTGGAGGATGGATGCAAATTGGAGGCCAGTCTCAGCAATTTACAGAGGCCCTAAGCAACTTAGTGAGACCCTGTCTCAAAAGGGTTGGGGACGGAGCTCAGTGGTTAAGAGGAGTCCCTGGGTTCAATCCCTGGTACTACAGAAAAAAAGAAAAAAAAAGAAAAAATAGTAAATAACCAGGTGGAAAACTCTATATAGCGCCACACCACTGTCCCCAGCCTCCTTGTGCCACCACGGTAGGAGGCTCGCCGCAGCTTCTGTGCGCATGCGCGACGGCGACAGGCGCCTAAGGCCAGTGTTTGGGGGCAGGGCAAGGTACACAGGGCCGCTGCTGGCTCTGGGCCATTTCACATCCAGCCTGTGTGTCCTCCCACTAGAGGTGGCCTGTGTGCCACCACTTGCTGGCCCTGTGACCTTGAGCTTCAAGATGGTCATCTGCAAAGGGTGATGGTGATTCCTGGCCCCCATGGCCTGTCCCCGGCTCCCCTGAGAGGGCCCAGCGGCTGGGTGAGGGACAGAGTAGGGGGGTAGGAGTAGAGGGTCCCCGTGAGGCCATCTGAGGACATCTAGGGGACACTAGGTCCCCGCAGGCTCTGGCTGAGTTCTTACCTGCTCTTCTGCAGGGCTGAGGCCAGGGGTCCTGACGGGGGCGTGGGGCACCCCAGGCCAGCGTCCCCGGTTCTCTGGCAGGGGCCGCAGGGGCAGGCCCGAGCACAGCTCCCGGAGGCTGGACATTGTCTGGCTGAGAGTCGAGGCCAGCGCTGTCCAGAGGCCGGGAGGAGACTGGGCAGTCAGAGGCCAGCAGGCTGGGGACCTGCAGCCTCAGGGCCACCTCCTCCAGCCCCTCATTGGGCCCTGGGCTGGGGGAAGGAGCCACGTGCAGGTCACGGGGGCAAGTCCTCCGGTCCCTGACTGATAGGCGGGCTGCCTGGGTGGTGACCGGGGGGAGGGGCCGGCTTCCTACTGGGGACAGGCTGGACGGGGGTCCCCTGGTCCCTTCTAGTGGGGTGGCCGGGAGGGTGGTGCTTAGTGGAACATGACTCTGGAGAGCTGGTCGGGCTCCACGGGGGGGGGTGGCTTTGGCAATCTTCTGGGGGTGTGACACCACTGTCACAATCCACGTTGAGTCCCAGTGGTCCTGGGACGGGACACCCGGTGTGACTCCAGCTCAGCTCCTGACCAGGCCCGTGGCCTTTGGCCCTCTCCCTATCTATTAAGTGGGTGGCAATTAACTGCTCAGGTTGCCGGTGCACGAAGTGCCCAAACACCCTGTGAAGGGAACAACAATGTCACTACTGGAGGTCACCTTCCTGGGCTTGATCTTTTTTTTTTTTTGGTCCCAGGGATTGAACCCAGGGGTGCTTAACCCCTGAGACCCCGTCCCCAGCCCTTTTTCTATTTTATTGAGAGACAGGGTGTCGCTGAATTGCTTAGGACCTTGCTAAGTGGCTGAGGCTGGCCTCCAGCTCATGATCCTCCAGCCTCAGCCTCCCAAGCTGCTGGGATTGCTGGTGTGCACCGCCGGGCCCGGCTAAGCTGCCCGTCTCTAACACGCTTTATTTTCTCTATGTCACCATGCCTATCCATCTGTCCCTATTTTCTATGTCCTCGTATATAACATAAAGTCAATGAGAGCAGGTGCTGTGACGGCCTCGTTCTGTCCACTGGTGCCTGTGTGTATAGGGGGTTGCTCTCTGTGGAAGGAATGAAAGAGGGACACTGTCTGTGGCGGGGGGGGGGCAGCAGATGCAGAAAGGAACTTCTCAGGGAAGTTCCCGAGACTCTGGGCCTCTACCCAGGCCTCTGCACCTTCCTCCCCTCCAGAACCTTCCTGGTGGGTCTCCCCATCTCCAGGATCATCTCTGAACACGGAGAGGCTGAGCTGTTGTTCTCAACGGTGGCCACCAGGTGGCAGCCTGGAGCCAGGACACGCAGCAGGACTCTAGGGGCGGGACGGCAGGTGGGAAAACTCAGGAATGGGGGTTAGGTGACAAGTGGGGTGGTGACAGGGGACATTGATGGCTTGAAAGCTCTGGGTCCTGGACCAATCTGGGGGTGACCGGGAGGTCACCAAGGCTGGAAGAGTACATGGTAAGGAGTGTCTGGTTCTGTCTGTGAGCTGCATTTCCTGTCACTTGAGAACCAGGATCACCACTTGAGGCCACATCTTCTAAGCCACCACAACTATTATTTACTCATCCTTCTTCCTCTTCTTTATTTTTGGGTCTCAGGGATGGAACCCAGGGACCTTCGACTACTGAGCCCCGTCCCCAGCCCTGTTTCATATTTTATTTAGAGACAGGGTCTCCCTGCGTGGCTGAGGGCCTCGCTAAGTGGCTGAGGCTGGCCTCCACCTGGCGATCCTCCTGCCTCAGCCTCCTAAGCCACACCTGGGACGACAGGTGTGGGCCACTGGCCGGGCTCCTGCCTCTCTTTATCTTTCCAGGCAATTTCTGAGGACTTCCTGGTGCCTGAACTATTGCGGGTGACACAGATGAGGCCCAGCAGGATAGAGGGGGCATGTCCCAGGGGGTCCCGTCCACTTCCAGAGGCTGGGCAAGATCTGCAGGAGCTGGAACTCAGGCAGGATGCTGCCGTCTGGTAGGGAAGGTAGGGGACAGGACGGTCCTGGGGGGACCAAGGGGCACTCTTGTGCCTGATCCTGGGGGGTGGGGCTCCTGTAGGGCTCAGGGCCAGCGCTGGGCGCCTGGCATGTAAGGAAACCAAATGTAAGGGACAGTAGCTGGGGGGGGGACCTGCTCCTCCCACTTCCCTACTGGTGAAGGCTTCTTGTGACACCCCAGGGCGGGGACTTGCTGGCCACCCGCCCAGCCTCTGCCCTGGGCGGGCTGCTGACCTCCTCCGTGGGGGCGGAGTCCCAAGACTTGTGTCCCCACCTGCCATCGCCCGCCTCCACAGTCCCCAGGCTCCGTGGAACGCGCCACCCACCGGGGCGGGCGGGTCCTGGAGCCCGGCGCCAACGTCCCCGCGCGGTGCAGCGGCCTGTCGCCCCTGAGCGGCGCAGCATGGGCAGGCGCTGCTCCTGGCGGCGACGCGCGCTGGTGGCCGCGGGTCTGGGCGCTGCGCTGCTGCTGCTGCTGCTGCTGTGCGCCCTGCGCCCCGGTGAGTGACGACCCCGGGTGAGTGACAGCCCGGCTCCCGCCGCCCCTCCGCGCTCCCAGTCCCAGCCCCGCGTCGCCCGTGGTGGCCTGTCCCCTGGAGATCGCGGGGCCACCTGCTGTCCCCTCCTGTCGCTCTGGAGGCAGGAGGAGGTGGAGGGCATTTGGCCACCCTGGAATGCGGTCCCCTGGAGGTCACTGATGGGAGCAGGACAGTCACCGCCAGGGGACACTGGACTCTCTTCAGTCCTCAGCTGTCCCTTTGAATCCTTGGCCCTGTCCCCTGGAGTCCCCTGCAGTCCACACCCTGGGAATACTGGACTGGGTGCTTCTCTGGACCCTACCCCCTCAGGTCTGGTCTGGCTGGGAGAACTGGGCGGCCAGTCCCCACTGTGCAGTCCCCAGCCACTCCCTGACCAGGGACAGGACAGCGTGTCCACTTGGGAGTGCTCAGAGGTCCTCCTTGAAAGTCTCCCCGCAGCCCATTTCATAGAGGAGGAAACTGAGGTCAGAGTGGACCACAGTGTCGATGGCTAAGCGGCAGCTGTGCAGTCTGTCTGGAGCTGGGGGTTACTCAGTGGCCTGATCTTGGTGACTGTCATTTCCCTGTGTGTGTGTGTGTGTGTGTGTGTGTGTGTGTGTGTGTGTCTGTGCCGGGTGGCTGTGGCACCCAACTGTAATTCCTGTGACGAGGGAGGCTGAGGCAGGAGGATTGGGAGTTGGAGGCCAGCCTCAGCAACTCAGGGAGACCCTGTCTCTAAGTAAAACACAAACGATGGCTGGGGATGTGGCTCAGTGGTGGAGGCCCTGTGTTCACGGAGATGTCCTTCCACATGGTCCTTCCTGGACAGGGTGAGGGAAGGGGCCCAGGGACCTCAGGTGCTGGGGACAATGGGCATCCTGAGGGCCTGAGCAGAACAAGGGTCTTGGAGACTCCGCGGGGGGTCAGCCGGGCTGTGGGGTGGCCGTCTGCTCGCCGGGTCTTGCAACACTGCCACCAGCCACAACTGATTAACTGGAAACTGGGTGGTGTGACCTTTGTCCACAGCACGGGGAGTCTCCAGATAACCTGTCCGCCACCCATGGTGGCCTCTCCTGGTCTCTCTGACATCCTGCTTCCTCCCCCAGCCCCTCTCCCGCCTCCTGTTTCTCCATTTTCAAAGCAAAAACACTCTCCTCTCCAATGCATGGCCCCTGGTAGCTGCCCTGGGTCACCCAGCCTGAGCTCAGGCCCTGGCCTGTCCCCTCTAGGAGGGACTTGGAGCTGAGGACCGTGGCCCAGGCCATCCGGGGAATGGGAGTGGGGTCCCCTGGTGTGGCCCTGCTGGAGGGTCTCCAGGGGAGCTTCAGGACACCCCTCTTTAGATCCTCTGTCCTCTCTGTCCCCCTCCGTGGCCAGCCTGCCTATCTATCCGCTGTGGTCTGGGTGCTGGGCGGGCGTGGGTGTGGGCAGGGCTGGACCCGCCCTGTAATCAGTGGCCACAGCTCATTCTGGACTTTTCTCTGAGGCCTGACCCCTGGTCCCCGCTGCCTGCTGGCCCTTGGGGACTGCTGTAGCCTGTGATCTGCCCAGGAAATAGCAGGCCCTGGGCAAGGGCGGTGCATCCGGTCCAAATTGCAGGGCCCCGGGAATAGACGCGCTGCCCGCTGCCCAGCTGTGGCCCTGGACACACCCCCTTTCACGGAGTGACCTCAGGCTACAGGGGCAACTGTCATCTGCAAAATGACAAGAAGCACCCGCCTTCTCTCTGGGTGGCGAGGCACCCCCCCCCC